CACATAATGTTTGCTTGCACTGAAAAGTTATGGAGATGGTTAATATTTGTATGACCATATCTGACACGACACTTACCAACAATGTTATTATTTTAAATTAAAACACTAAAATGACATAAATGTAAACCACAGAAAAACTGTTCAAAGTCCAACTCTTTCCTACAAACCTCTTTAGTCCAAATGGTTCAGGTTAAATTTTTTTGTGTAACGAAAAATCCTGTGTACTTTTACTAAGGACATGTACACAGTGTAWAATGTTAGGATAATGTGTACATGGCCTTAGTCAAATTACACAGGAGAACATTAGGAGTATAAAGTACTTGCGTGTGGTAATGGTGGTTTTTTACAAATCAGGGCAGTTGATGGCTGATGTACGTTTACACTGTTCTTTGTAATTATTGTGTAATATGTTCATTTTCACTCAACAAGGTGTAACAAAAGTTGCTGAAATTAATTATAAAACACTTATTTTTAGAATAACTTGCACCCCCAGTGATGCTAGAACCTAGCATTAGCAATGTAGCACTTCACCCGCCCTGCTAATCTGTTTACTTTATACAGATGTGCCTTTTACCCATGCCAGAGCCACCAATGCACCRAGATATCATCAGAGAGGCAGACTTTTAAACCATGTGCTAATAACAGACTGGATGGTTAGACCTGTCTCAATAACAAATTTTGCTGGACGATAAATTGTCTCAGAAATTATTGTGATAAAGGATAATATTGTTTGGAGACCATTTAAAACAAAAATGATTCTAAATTTCTTGTGTTTTCRAACTATTTTCATGCAGATTATCTTCTGCTTATTTCTTTGAATAAAGAAGTGGTTTCCACGGACAGCACTAAATGTTATTGTGTGTGTTTGTGCAGCTGAGCCGGTGAAGGGGGACAGTTCTGTCCCTCTCATTGAAGAGGTGGACAGCGATTCAGCCGTGGACAACAAAGACTTAAGGAAGCAGCTGTGTCCGTATGCTGCTGTCGGAGAGTGTCGCTACGGGATCAACTGCGCCTATCTCCACGGAGACGTGTGTGACATGTGTGGCCTTCAGGTCCTCCACCCGACAGACAACAGCCAGCGCTCAGAGCACACCAAGGTAAGACAGAGTCTGCTGAAAATAAAGATAAGAGGCTAACAGCTCAAATCAGAGGAGCAAAAGACTAGCTAATCTTTGTAATAGATTAAGATAAGATCAGCAAAACTATAGACAAAAAAACAAAACATTTTAGCTGTACTAAATAAAGCATAAKAGCAGCTAAAACAGAGGAGAANTAAGCGGCCGATGAATTCGGCCTTCGGAGCACCCGGCCTCTGGTTTTGGACACAGCCACTGTCAAAATAAGGGTGTAGATGTTGTGAATGTGGTCTCTTACAGCCAGGACCTCACTGGGCTGGGTCCATCTTCATGTTGTTGTTGATGAGCTTTTCTGTTTTCATATCTGATTCACTCTGGACAGATGAAGCGTCTCTTCCTGTTATTCGGGGTGGAAGCTGAAATGCCTTTTTTTTAATTTTTATATGTATAGATGTGGTTTAAAGGAGAACCTAATCGAGCKTCAGCCAGGCTGTGCAGACTGTGAGTACGAGGTGACCCGCAGTGTTGTGGTTTCTCCTTCCAGGCCTGCATCGAAGCCCACGAGAAAGACATGGAGATCTCCTTTGCCATCCAGCGCAGTAAGGACATGATGTGTGGCGTCTGTATGGAGGTGGTGTTTGAAAAGTCCAACCCAAGTGAGCGCCGCTTTGGTATCTTGTCCAACTGTAGCCACTGTTACTGTCTGAAATGCATCCGCAAGTGGAGGAGTGCCAAGCAGTTTGAGAGCAAAATCATCAAGTAAGCAGAGCTTCCTGTACAGAACTAAACTTTATTACTATTATCTTAAACCGTCAGTTTRCTCACATGAATAATGTTGCTTTGTGTGACTGGTTTCTGCTGCTGAGCCACAGTTCTGCTGGTCTTACCCTGAACCAGTGAAGGTATCGTACTGTTTCAGGCTATCAGAGAGGAGCAGCTCTGCCCCCTGCTGGCAGGAACACACCCTGACATCATGTGGAGCCAYGAMTTTTACTCACATGGGTTTTATTTTGCAGGTCTTGTCCAGAGTGTCGAATCACATCTAACTTTGTCATCCCGAGCGAGTACTGGGTGGAAGATAAGGAGGACAAGCAGAAACTGATCCAGAAATACAAGGATGGCATGGGGTACACGTCTCCACACGTCACACTGTCCCAGGGTTACACTGGGGGGCTCACACTCACCCACACAAAATGGGGCCAAAATTCAAAACTGGCTCTAAGCAACGGGCCAATCTGTCAATATTTATTTAAAAAAAACCATTTATTTTAAATGTGAAACAAGCTGTTCTTCTAGAAAAACAAATAAGCTTTTCCTATATATTATGTAGTGTTTATAACTTGATAAAGAGAAAGGATTAATTTTAGAAAAACACAGAATTAGCATTCATTTCTTACGTTTTACACTCTATTAACAACTTCTTCTTTTTTTTTTTTTAGAGACACATTTTATCACAACCCAGCAGTCTGTTATAAAAGAAAAGCCTCATTAAACATCCAGCTGTATGACTTGAAAATTAGAAATAAATACAAAATGTCAACTACTGTCATGAGGAGAATGCACTAAATACAGAGACAAAAACAGACAGGATAACATTTTAAACATTTCCTTTGGGCCTAACCTCTGCTGCATGGGGTGGGTTGATGCTTCTGTCTTGGGTTGGTGTGCTGTGGGATGGACGGAGCCCAGCTGAGGCTGCAGTAAAGAGCCTCGTGTCCAGAATGATCCGGGGGACAGAACCATTAATATACGCTGCTCAAAAAAATAAAGGGAACACTTAAACAACAACGCACGCTAAGTCCAAGTAAATCAAACTTTTGTGAAGCACATTCAACTCTGTACAGAACAAAGTACTCAATGTGAATATTTCGTTGATTAAGATCAGGAGTTAGTGTGCGTTAAGTGTTCCCTTTGTTTTTTTGAGCAGTGTATGTTACTGGATTGAGCGTGGCTAGCGCAGTGTTAGCTACATTGACGTGCATTCACTGGAGCTCTGTTCTGCATTGAGGAGCCTCAACAAAATGAATGGATGTCAATGGACTGTGAGGCGTCATCCTGATGAAAAACT